CTGACAGCAGTGGCCATTGTGATTCCTGTTCACCACTGCACACAGAGTTTGCTTTGCAAAGGCTAGTGATTGCTCCTAAAAGAGGAAAAACACTAAAATAGCCATGCAATGAGTAACTCCAGTTTCTGGGGGGGAAGAGGAGGCAAGGGGTGCAGGGTCTATATGGTTCAGTATCTGGCTTCCCTTCACTGGGGCAGCAGTGGGATCAGACAGGGCGTCAGACTGGAGTTCCAGCCCATATCTGCCAGCGGGTGCTTTCTTTGTGATGTGCAAATTGTTTCAACCAGTTTCTCTAGAGGGTGGAGAAATAAATCTCTATTCCTTTCATTCTAGCACTATGAGATCATATTAATGTTAAAAAGGGGCATGCCCAGCTCTAGAATTAGAGCTCAAGACATTTCTCTTTAAAGACCTGATGCATAAATAAAAATGTAATTATTATGGCAGCAAGTAAAGTAGTTGTGGAGCTATTGGAGAGAACCAATTCCTACTATTGTACTAAAGAATTTTACTTGGACAGATTGGGAGCAAATCACTGAAATCCTCATTCACAAAAGGTGCACTGTCAGCTTTCACAGGAACCGATTCCCAGCTCTGGAATAATGTAAGTGGATAGTAAAGGAGGTAGGACAGCTGTGGTTTACTCCCTGGACAATTTCCAGGTTACAGCTGAAATGCTCTGTGACACTACATCATTTTTGCATCTTTTTTAGGATTTCTCAGCACAAGCTAACACCAAACAAACAAGTCCCCATCTAAAAATGTCACCTCATTGCCATTATGGAAAGGACAAGATCAGGCACTACCAGGTTTCATTTTCATTATCTGGGGGAAAAAAAAGGTGGGCAAAAACACTTGAATGAGTTGATGAAAGAACTTGAAGTATGAGTTCCCTAACCAGCATTGCTTTACCTTGAAAAACTGCTTCCTTCAGTGCTGTCCCAGCTGTCAGAACAAGCACATTCCCCTCCCTCCAGGCTCAGCTGCTGAGCACTCTGATATCGCTCTGATGAAAGGCTCCGTGCACTGCCGTTCCCCCAGACATCATCTACTCTGCACAGGCTAGTGGAGGAGAGTTAATGCTTATTAGAGAAGGAAAAAACACAAAGCAAAGGGGTGAGGAGTGCCTTTTATTAAAGCTAATTTCTGAGGCAACCCACACTTCTCACTGCTGGCAAAGACTTGATACTGTCTGTTCGCTGCAGTCTGTTTTAACAGGAAACAAAACCTTTTATCAGGTGCTGATATAGCCAAGGAGACAATTTCTCATAACATGCAATCTGTGAAAGTCTGTATTTTACATCTTATTCCAACTGCAATTGGAAAAAATATTTCCTGGTTTATTAATTTAGAAAGAATCCATTTTCCAGTCAAAAGCCAATGAGATGATGATGATATAAAATGTCAGTTAAATCTCAGCCAGTGCGACCCACACACAGAGTGGCAAGAGGGAAGGAAGTTCACACTGACCAAATAAATGCCTTTGCAAGGATACTTAACACCTCACTTGGTCAGCACCTTCTGTAGCAAGGAAAGTTTGGGTTCTTACCTGGCAGGTACCACCACAACTAACACAAAACTCAGTACTCACAGTAACTCTTGGGATAGTAAAACCTTCCTACCAAACAACACCGGGCAGGGGAGATTTTACATCAGCTGCTTCCTCTTTATACATGATTATGTAAAAGGCTGATGTAGCTTTTCATGTGTTTAAACACAGAAGTTCATGAAACAAATATTTTTAACTCCTTTGATGCAAAGAATAATGGAAATGATTGTCTGTACACATTAGAAAGAGTTTCACTAGGAAAAGACTGTTTCACTATCAGCAAACAGCACAGACCAAATGAACCAGATGATTCATTAAAAACAAAAAACCCCTAAAGCTGCTGGTTTGGGATAAAAAAAATGAACCAAAGACATTGTTGCTGTGTTTCAATGGCAAGTTTCAGAACAGATCCTTAAATATTCATTACTTTTAACAGAAAGGTATGCTAATGCTGCTCAGGGGCAATTTGGAAATAGCAAGGCACAGCCAAGACTTGCAAATTGCCAATTTTACCCCAGCTTTCCCCCCTGCCCCAAACTTGAATTAAGAAATCAGGTTTGTGGCTCAAGAGCATGCCAGACCACACCTCTGCCAGTCATCTGGGTGCAGGTGGATTGGTGATAAATGCAAAGACTGAGAAGAGGACCTTGGGTTTAAAGTACAGAGATAAGTGAGACATAAGGTAATGACAGAGCCTGAGTGTCCCAGCGCCACCGAAGGTACCCATCAGGTTTGCAAACGGGGAGCTCATATAATAGTCCTGCTGCACAGACAAAAGAAAGAAAAAGAACAGTTTTCAGCAGCAACACCATCTAAAAATCCAGAAATGACCACAAATTCAAAGCTTTTTCCCTGAAAATTGCATTTCTGAGACAACTCAAGACAACCTTTTGAAGTAACGAAACTCTAAATACACAGATCCAGAGACCCTAGAACCTAACAAGTCATAAGGACAGTGGAATGATGCAACTATGCACTTGTGAGAAAGTCCACTTGCCTTTGTTCTGACCCTCTAGGCTCTAACACCTTCAGTGGATGTAGCCTTACATCTCTTACTATCGTACTATCACTGTTTTAAAAGGAGGATATTCTCAGGCATCAGTGAGGCAGTGGAAAACCGCATTTTAAGTAACATAACAAAACACCCTAAAGGAAGAATCAAGTATTCTTAGTTACACAGGCAATGATTTAATTTACCCAAGCCCCCTATACATGTACGACATTCATTTGTAAGGGTGCAGGCAGGAATGTTATTCAGGTAAGATTAAAAGTAAATTGTATAAGGTTAAACTAACTATAATAACAGCATGAGATGATATAAACAATATGTGGCTGCCCTCTGGTTTCTCATACTTGAGTCACCTATGCTAAGACTTTAATATAAACTATCAAATTATTAGAGTCACTCTTATTTTTCTGATAAATACTTCATTAAACATCTTTAATGTCCATCGAAAAGGTGTTTTTTACTCTCTTCCTGGCCCAGTATCTCCAGTCCATACAAAAGACAACAGTAAACATTAGGCTTTTCTTCCTCCAAACCAGTTGGTTTTTTCCAGCCTCAGTTTTGCTGTTACTAGGAAAGACCTTTTAGGAGAGCCTCAAACTGGGTAAGGATTAGCAACCTGACCGCAAAGCACTAAGAAACATTACACAAACAGGCTGAAAGAAAAAAGAGAACATGTTCTCTAGACCCATGCAGAACCTTTTCATTCACAGCAAGTGCAGAAATGATTTCTAGCAGAAGGAAGTTGTACAATCAACAGTCCCTTGCTGTGAACTGCCAAGCTGTTAAACTCTCATCATGACCTCTGCTACCACCAACTCTAATGCTTATGGATGTGAATCATCATCTAACCTCAAGGAGGATATTAACAGTCATAAGGAAATGTCAGTGAGATTTTTCTACATTGCTTCACATAAAATCATAGAATATCCTGAGTTGGAAGGGACCCACTAGGATCATCCAAGTCCAGCTCCTGGCACTGCACAGGTGAGTCCCAGGAATCATACCATGTGCCTGAGAGCATTGTCCAAATGCTTCTGGAACTGTACCAGGGTTGGTGCTGTGATTGCTTCCCTGGGGGGGAAGCACCCTCTGGGTGAAGAACCATTAAATATATCTAAATATCTAACCTAAATTTCCACCCTCATGTCCTATCACTTGTCACCAGCGAGCAGAGATCAGTTCCTGCCATTCCACGGACCCTTGTGAGGAGGCTGTACACTGCTGTGAGATCTCCCCTCAGTCTCCTCTTCTCCAGGCTGAACAGAACAAGTGACCTCAGCCGCTCCTCATGTGGCTTCCCCTCAAGGCCCCTCATCTTGACAGCCTCATATCCTTCTTACACTGTGGCACCCAAAACTGCTCCCAGGACTCAAGGTGAGACTGCACCAGTGCAGAGCAGAGCAGGACAATCCCCTCCCTCACCTTCTGGCAATGCTGTGCCTCATGCACCCCAGGACACGGAGGAGTCTCCTGGCTGCCAGGGCACACTGTTGACTCAGTGTCTGTGCTCACACTGATTTTAAGAGAATGCTGAAAGAAAATGACTTACAAATTTATTTTACACATTTAAAAAAGATAAGGATGAAATTAAAAGTTCCATTTCCTTATCTCATTAGCATATAAGTTACAAAAGCAGTATGGAAAAGCACTGTGCAATCAAAAATTGCCTCCACCTTAAAATAAGAACTAACTTGGCTATCACTAACACATGAAAAACAGTGTTGCCCATGCACACAAGCAAGGTCTGATTTGGAAACATGAATGCATGAAGACATGTCTGTATGTTTATGTATGAAATTCACCCAACAGCAATGTTTGCACACCCAGGTGTAAATATATAAAACTAAATATATAAAACCAACCTTCATTTTTCGAAAGACTGAATGCATGATCACTTGTATCCACAACATGGGCTAGAAAAAAATGTTCATATCAAAACTGCACAAGCAGAAACCATAGTTATTTTGAAACCTCACTGAGGAGGTTGTAAAGATCATGTGAATAAACCATGAACTTTCTAACAGAGAGAGAGAGAAGATTAATTTTTACTAAAATAAACTATGTGTTCAGAAACAAGGAAAAAACTGAGTAACCGCAGCTGCTAACAGATCACAACAAAGGCTCTAACTTCTGCTGTCACCAGCTGATGAGACTCTTTAATAGCACTAAAACATACATAGATCTAGAATTTTGCTTTGTAACTATTAGAAGGGATTTTTCTTTCTATAAATGTGACACTGGTTCATGCAATATTAATATCTAATTCCCAAAGACTTAAAGGATTATCTTCATTACAGTTCCAAATGACTAAGATACTCAGTTAACTAAATTTTCTGAAAATGTCTTATCTAATTTTGACTTTGTATTTTGAATTTCTTCCTACTTTTTGCTTACGCACAAATCTGGCTGAGCACCCATGGCATGAAGGAAATATTTCAGATTTTACGACTTCTTAAGCCTTCTCAGTTTTAACTTCCCCAGACCATTTTCAACTTCTTTTTTTCTTTTTCGGGTAGGTTTCTCTGAAGACACAGACTGCAGCTCTAGACAAGATGATGGCATCACAGGCAATGCTTCAGTGGCTGTGCTTGGCTCATTTTGGCTCATCTGCTCTATACTGTTACTCAGAGAAAGAGGCTGGGAGGGTTTTTTTCTCAGAGTTAGTGACTTCTTGTCTGCCACGGTCTTTGTTGTGCCTTGCTCAGGAAACAACCTGGAATTAAGGAGGGTCTTCTCCTCCAGGAATGGACCCAAACAATACACATTGCACTTACTCATGTCTGTAGAGCTAGAAATTAAAGGAGTCCTTTCAGAGGACACTTTATTGAAGTGCTCTAACTTTTCCTCTGAAGCACAGCTCTTTACTTGAGCCTGTGTTTTGGTCACTTTTTGCCTTTGTTTTGGACCCAGCAGTGCTGACTCAGAGCTGCAAACAGGATTCTCACTCAGAAGACTCGCCTCCAACTGCTCCAGAGAGTGAGGTTTTTGCTGGCTGCTAACATCATCTGGCTGTCTCTGATTAACATAATTTTCCAGCCCTAAAACAGGAAGCTTCAAGCTGCTCTCAGCTGTATTTGTGCAGTCCTTCAGCAGGCCTGGACTCCTACGTTTCACATCAGACTGAGGACTGAGAGAAGTCTGACAGTCGTTCTTTCTGTTCTCTGCCTGCAAGTCCACCGAGCCAAGATACACTTTCTTGGAGTCCTTGCTGATTTGAGGTTTGCTTGTGCTACTTTTCCTTGGTTTTGTCCTTTTCACACTGCAATAAAAAGGAATTTGGTTTTTAAATTAAAAAAAAATCGTTACTGCCTCAATCTGCCAGTCTTACAAACTCTGAACCACCACCAGGGCCACCCTCCTTCTGAACATGGAAAAAATCCCTGTATATCATCTTGACAAGCAGCAATGTTTGTCTAGTGTGGCTAATATCAAGTGTTATCCATCTGATTTTCCACTGCACTAGGGGAGAACCCTATTTATTAATGACTAAGCCATGAAGGAGCAAGTTCACATTCTATTCCAAGAGGCAGAACTGGATTCATTACAGATGTTAAAGGTCAACATGGCATAAAGTATATTGAATTCCTTCTCAAACTGGCTGATAAAATAGTATTTCATAAGTGCTTAAATGATTTCAAACCATTCCCATATATTCACATGCATAATGTATATCTGCAGGACAGAGGGGGCAGGCAGGGAGAGGCAGTGAGTGTGTCTCTGGGTGAGAGTTTCTAATCTCTGTTTTAGAATGTTCCTCTGGAATTTTTCCCAGGACATTTCAAAGCATTGCTTTAAAGTTAACCACTACTCATCTAGTATCAAGCCCATTCATCTGAGAGGGATAAGTAATGCAAGTAGATGATATTCTAAAAGGAATTATACAGGAAAATGGGATCACAAGGGACCTGATAGAGTGTCAGTACGTAAACACTCCTCAGTAGTGTGTTACCTACAAATCCACATTTCACACAGGCTTTAAGATCAACTTTATGCCCAAGCACTAAAGCTGCATTTCGAGTCTAAAAATGTTACTACACATCACCCCAAGCTGAGACTGCTTTCTGCTGCTCTGCTGATGCCCAGCAGTTCCCAGGTCAGCCTACCTAACTCTTTGCAAAGAGGGCTTGTAGGTAAAGTAGGTAGAGCTGGCACACCTCCACATCTCATCTCATTTCTAAAGACAACACAGATGAGACAGCATGGGTAAAACAGAAGTTGCCAGGGTTCACAGCAAATCCCTGATTTCACAGGTGATTTGGGCTTCTGGCAGCTTGCACAAGCCAGGATGGCATCCTGGTACCACAGAGGACCAGTGACATGTTCAGCTGATCAGCTCACCCTCCCCACCCACTACATCAGGGACACTTTTAATTGCGACCAATGATCCAGATTCTCAAAATGAACCAAAAAAAATAATACATATTTGCCAAGTGGTTTTCACCATATTCAAGCATCACGTATTTATTTTGGCTCAGAGCTTCATTCAAGGCAAAAACAGCCTGTTTTGATTCTGCCTAGCACTATGTGAGATATCTATGTGGGTTGTAATGGCTTTCTCCATGCTGTAAAAACAACAATGATCATTTTCTCTGCTTATCCACACTAGAGTAGTAGTCTCTTAGTACTCTTTTGTAAAGTAGTTTATGTTATTTGAAATTTTCTTACATAGATTAGATTCTATTAACCCAAATTTTACCAATTATAAACGTAAAAGCTTAGAAAGAATGATGACATACATTTTTTTCAGGATGTCTTGCTTTATTTGTTCATTCAGACTAATCTGAAGCTTCTTGCTCTCAGCAGGTTCAGTAAAATATTCAGATGTCCCTTTGGAAATTTCTTCCTTCTGCTCCAAAAGAAAACACAGGTTTCAAACATGACACATCATGATATAACTATTCAACAGAAAACTCAATTTCTAATACTAAGACTTACAGCTGTTCTTTATTATTTTGATCTGAGCAGTCTAGGAGAAACAATTATTTTTAATCTTTTAATATTTGGGAGTCTAGTCAGTTCCCTCCCCTTTCAGACTCCCAACCAACATATTTCATATGCTAAAATTTACCACAAACAAACAAGACAGCAATGTAAAGGCTGGAGCTTTCCAAACCATCTGAGGAAACTGTTGGCAAATATTTGACATCTTTGTGGCTCAAACTGTGACAAATGCCAGGAATCTCTCTTGCAGACAGGAGCATGTTTGTCAGTTTTTTTTCTGAAGAGACTGACTGGCGCAGTGGTCTATACACTTATTCTCAGAAGAATTCCCATAATTTTCCATACTTGCAAGAAAATATAGAGTGTTATTTGCTCACTGAAGAAGGCAAGGGTTAAAACTTTTAATTCTAACATTTAAATGCTTACAGCTTGTAGTGGTTGGCTACTAGAGGACAACAGGGGATTTCTTTCTGGTCTCAGCTAACAGCAGCACTGTGGTTTTATATTATATGAGATTGGGGTGAGCAGGAGGGAAGGAAAATGCTCTTTTTCTTCAAGCTGTGAGCATTTCCTTTCACAATTAAACCATCTCAATCACAGAAGAGCCATTTGCTGACTTCACTAACTACCACATACTCCAAAAAAGTATTATCTCTGAGGCTATGGAGGAGAGGGGGAAAAAAAGTGGTAAAGTCAAGAAGAGAAGATGCTTTGTGCATCCCCTTGTCTCTAGCGGCACTATTCTCCATCAGCCTGCATGATGCTCCTCTAATTTGGGCTCAGCAAATGCAGTGAGTGCTTATTGATCCCATTCCTTGCTTCATGCCACAAAGGGAACACAGTGGAACCAGGTGGTACGAGAAACTGAGGAACATAGAGAAAGCCTGTGGAGGCACAAGGCCAAAGCCTGTACATGACCCTTTCCTCAAAAACCCCTCAGGAACCTGTCACTTAGGGAAGAATAAGCCCTGCCCATTCTTATTTCTGCTTTAGAAGAGTGGAGGGGAAACCTCCATGCTCTTTCCAGAAGAAATAGCCAGTGAAAGCAGCTTCCTGTTTTGTAAGCAGAAGAAGTGTAGTCAGGCAAAGAAATAAAGCCATTTTGGCACTTAAGAAAGCTACAGCTGTTCTGAGCCTTTCTGTCAGAGGCAAATGACACATCTCTGTGTGTGTATTGAGAGATGCAGCAAGTTCTGTCCACTAATGGTGCAACCACTGTGTTTACAGCAGGCAGAAAACACATGGGACATATGTGCAATGTGATTTCAGCCTCAGAAATCAAGTTTAACTAGTTTAATCTCAGGGATTAATTGCTGCTTCTATTCTTGTTAGAAGTAGATTCCCCTAATTTGACTAAATATGCTTTCATACTTTGTAAACTATTAAAGACACAAATATTATTAAGATATTCAAGAGTTTTGCTAATTTTAAGAGAAGACACAGACTGCAAAGTCTGGAGAAACTATGCTGATTCCCAGTAACAGTCACATAACTTGGACTGAAGGATCTTGCACAATCATCCTGCATCAAAGCAGCTGGAGAGCACTCATACTTAGCCAGAGAGCCGGAGCTCAAGCAGAAGCATTTAAGTTTCTGCTGTATGGTAACTGGTAAGATTAATTTTGTTAAACCTTCTTTAGACCTCAGCACAGCCAACCATGACAGGATCACCAGCCCACTAAGGCAATTCTCCTAGATGTGGGAAACACTTGGTACAAAATCCAGGGGAGGAGTGGGGACAATTCCTGTCCACATGTACTCACTACTGCAGATAAGCAATAAACCTCAGTCCTAACTTGCATGTGATTATGAACTGTGCAGGATCGATGCCTGGAGCATATGGTGGTGCCAGGGTGTGAAGAGCAGACCCTGGAGAGAGGCAAAGCTGTCACTTCTGAGCTGAGTCAGACTGCAGTTAATGCTCTGGAGTTGAAGGGCTAACACATTCCCTCCCTACACTATCATCGACCTTTTGTTTTGTTTTCAAATAACTTATCACACAAAACAGTGACAGAAAAGGGTTAAGGCATCAAAAAAAATTAAAAATCAAAATGATTTATATGTGAAACACTTCTGAACATGCCCTCTAAGTACAGTAGATTTTCCCCTCGGAACCACACCCTGTAAGTGCTGTATTTTGAGAGCTGAACAATTAACATAAGGCATATGAGTCAGTCTTTGAAAGACTCTGTGGGAACCAGAGAGCCTTTTGCTATTAGAAGTGATGTAAACTCCCTAAGGCTGGAATAAGTCCACAATAGAAGGCAGAGAGAGTCATAAATAACAACAATGGGCACACCATATACTACTAAGACACTCAGCCATTATTGGTGATACTTCCTTTATTTTCTTTATTAGACTTAATAATTTTAGTTAATTAAAAAAAAAAAAAAAAAAAGACCAACCACCCTCTGTTTTGGGAATACTATTTATTTCCTATGGGAACTTCAGGACTTGTTAAAGAAAGAAAAAAAGCTAATCTGCTCTCATCCTGTCTAGTAATCCCAAATTCCTTTTAGGCAGTGAAATAATTAAAGAAAAATATTCCAGGCATAAAAGGGAGGACAGCAGAAGCAGACAGCATATAAACAATGACACCATGACAGAGAAAAACGTCAAAGCACCGCCAGCCCTGCGACTCAGCTCTCAAAGAGCTGCAGGGAGCGGGATTGCTGCTAACAAATTAAAACCACATTTCTTGGCAAATTGTTAAAGACAGACATATTTACATTTGTATAGAGACTGGGTGGGCACAAAAGATTAAAATGCTTCTCTAGCCCTTGAACTGCCAAGTTCTATTAGAAATATGTGCTCTTAAAATCCTAGGGTAAGCTCACTCCTTTTTGTCACTAAAACTCAGCAGAGAATGGCCTGCAGAAGTGAAGCTTACAATTTTACCAGCCTACCTGCTCATAACAGTGGCCTTCCCAAACCTGATTTTTAAGATCTTAGTACTTATCCAAAGAGATGTTTTGGGAAAAAAACTCTACCAGAGCTGCAGAGAAAGATGACTGTTAGGCACACAATATGCTTCCTTTAAAGTTTATCAAATTGAAAATTCTTTTTTTTTTGCTATTTCACTCAACTTACTACTCACTCAAATTGAAAAACAAACCCTCAAAAATGTAAACGTGGTGACTGCCATCTCCAGCTCTCTCCAGGACAGCTGAATTCAGCAATACAGCAGTAAATACCTGTTAGAGAACTAGTCATGTATGGGCACTTGTGAGGAACCTTTACAACTCATTACTCCAAAGAAGAGTAAAATGTTTGGCCTTTTCAGCCTGAAAATACACTGATACGAATACTGATTTGTTTTTTCAGTCTAATGCTGTGTTGAAAGAAAACTTTCCAAAGTGAACAATGCTGTACCCTTGTCCTGCCTCTCCTTTGCTGTCATATTTTCTAGTTGTCTCTTACTGTTCTGAGTGGCACACACTTATTTACACTAAGGATACTTCTGTACAATTCTGTAACACTAAGGCATAATTAAAAATCATACCTAGTTAATAAAAAAGCCCACAACAAAACACAAAAAAAGTTTTAAAAATGCATTTATCACTTTGGCTCATCAAAAATACTTAAAAGAAAACATCACTGGGTTTAAGAAATCAAATTTTTTATCACAGTGGCAAATGGGAGGGGACTATAAAAATATAATAAAGTATTATCCCAGGCACACACAATAAAACTAAAATTAGTGAAATGAAGAAGACAGAAACACTTATTTGGGGGAGCTTTATGTAAGCTTCAATGGCATGATTTCTCTTCATGTCACTCTAAGCTGTATCATGAGCTCAACCATCAAACATACCCTTAAGGTTTCAGAGGTGTCCTAATAGATGAGTGGCAGATCAGAGAGGTCAGACAGGGCTCATTCCAATCTGATAAACAAAAAGGGCTCCTAAAGCAAGTGAGGAGGCTTGTCAGGGAAGGATGAACCAAATACTATAATCTAACTGATAAGGAAGTGACAGAGACAGGACTTTGAGTCTCCTCTTCTGCCCTCTCCCATCCCACATGAATGAAAAGCTTCCCACAGTTTCTCAATGCAAATTTTTTGCATTTCCAATGTAGTGATGCATCTGTCCTGGCAGTTCTACTTATGAACTCCAACCACATCATAAAACATTCACAGAAGTTTTCCAAGTACAGAAATGGATACTATTCTCAACTTGAAATACAGTTCCTTGATTGGACTTGTGGAATATTGCTCTACATTTTCAACTGGACTGTCCCACTCTAAATGTCAGTAAGTTCCAGCAAAAACCATTAAGGATCATTCCATGTTACACAGTGGAGTATTAGTCTTTCCTTTGAAATAGGTAATTTTAAGGAATGCTGGTGGTTTTCAAAAATTCTCCAATTTCAAACTTGAAAAGAATGTAATAACCAGAGCAAACTGCATCTCTCTGAGAAGGAGACGAACTGTTCGACCTACCCACAAGTCTAGCACAGACAACAAAATCAAACTCTTGGATCAGTACAGTCTCCATTATCTACTACCTAAATTAATTTCAGTTTGACACCATGGATCTAAGTTTTTGCTCATCAAGAGACCTTATGGTCTGTGCTATTTAGGCCAAGAGTTGGCCCAGTCTGTTACAAGCCCATGTGATACACATTCTGCCTTCTCAAAATACAAGGTGTGAACCCAAGTTTCTCACTCAATACATAAGCTCTGGCAATTCCAAACATTCCAAAGGTCCCCAAAGCATCATCAGATTAGTTTAAAGCACATGACTTCTATGAGGAAAATGCCTTCTTCCTTTTGAAGCATTTGGGTTGGATTTACTTGTATTTTACATGTAGCAGGAATCCCAGACTATTCTGAATGTAAGAAACTCAGAGCTCTCTACATTTGCATCTAAACACTCAGTAGAGAATAGAAAATAGAAATATTCC